GCAGCAGAGTCAGACCAATGACAAGTGCTGTAGATATTTGTTATCAGGACATGGTGCTTTACCTACTTATAGTGTATCTACAACATTCGTAACCAGCTTTTCTTACTTATGGATCACCTAGCTCAGTATTCCTGTAAAACTGACCAGAATGGTTAAAACTCTGTCTTCTTCCGCCGTAAAGGCAAAGACATAGTACCTAAAATACTATAGTCTCTTTAACTCTCAGTATAAGCTCCCCATGCTCATTTTTGAATTAGAAGCACAGTATCTGCTTGTTTATCTCTCAGTCTATTCAGACTATTATACAAAAGGCATGAATAACGAAGTGGGATATAAAAATGTCTAACTCTGCCCTTCTTGGAATTCATCTTGCAAAGAAAGAGTTCGATTTTAGTATACAACTTAACAGCCTTTACCTCCTTGAGAAAAAAGGTCAAAAAGTCACATAAGTTATATTTGGATCAATTTAAAAAGGAAAACATAGTCTGTTATTGGAAATCTAAGCCCTTTTTCTTCACTGCTCCGGACAATAAAAGTCTCTTTGAAGAATGGCATATTTCTATGTCACCATCATAGTCATACAGACCCTTATCTCAGGATGTACTGGCCCTTTAAGGCAACCTTGTGGTCTAGCTCCTGATTTCAGCCTGCTCAGAATCGTAGTCCAGGGGACAATTGAAGGCTGCAATGCCAAGGGATGCTGCTAAAAGGAGGGTATATAAACAGCTCCCTTCCCTCTTAACAGTGTGTGTGTTTGTGAGAGAGAGAGAGAGAGAGAGAGGGAGAGAGAGACCAAGGGCTTCTCTACATTTTGGGTGCTACAGTTGCACAGGTATGGGGCTCTGTAACTATGCTGAGGTACAGTGATAGAAGGGATTTTTCCATCGCTGTAAGTAATCCAACTCCCTCAATGGCAGGCAGTAACTAGAAGATCAATGGAAACATTCTTCCATTGATCAAGCCACATCTACATGAGGGTTAGGTCAAAAGAGCTAGTGCGCTCTGGCGAGTGAATTTTTTAAGTGTAGACTAGCCTCTATCTGGGAAAGAGCAGGAAGTGTTGGTCTCTCCGGGGAGAGCCTCTGGGGAGAAGCAGGAGCTGCTGGTAGTGTCCTCATCAAAGGCCTTGGAAGGGAACTGGATGACTATGTAGAAGCCACCCCAGGGAGGTTGGGGGGACATTTGATTATTTGAACACCTATGTTTATTTGGATGGAGAGTCAGACATGAGAGTCAGACATGGACAATCCCAAGAGGGAAGAAATCAATGAACTATACTAGAACTATCTGCTCTTTATCCTGGGAACAGGTGGAAGAAGTGGCACTGGTGAAATGAATGTAGACTGAGGCTTGGATGTGACATATGCTTCCTTTTCTAGGGCCCAAAACCAGAGCTATAGGGCAGGAATTCCTCTTCACCTTCACAGTACCAGTCAAATGAGAAGCTGTCACAACCATAAAAAGCAATTGCTTTATTTTTAGGATATTTATGTCATGCTAATATACCTTTATTTAAAACATAAGGTGCAAAAATTCCCACCTCTGTATAAAGCTCGTGCTGCAGTGGGGGTGGAATTTTATTATAATTCACCTTGGAATTTAAAATACTGGCATTGGGACTGCTAAACATCTGGTGGAGATAGAGATTACATAGTATTTGAAATGTCTCCCGTATTAACAATGGTTATTTGGGAGATACAATGATTACTTGAAATAAATTGTTTCTAGTCTAATGCCAAGGCTATGATTCAGATGATCAAGTAGCAATTTTCTAAATCAGAATTGGTTATGAGTTTGGTTTCATTATTAGGTTTATTTCTTCATAAGGTAAACAGAATAATATGTAGGGAAAACACATATTAAGTTTCCCTAATCAGACTTGTGGTGTTCTCTCCTGTTTCCAGAATGAAAGACTTTAAAAGAAAGCTGCACTTATATTCCTATTCTGAAATGTCATATGTCAAGTACCATTCCCCAGCATGCTTGTATAACCTATTTCACATATTTGATATTAAGGTTTTTGACTAAAAGCAGCAGTTCTGAATTTCCTTGACCACTATCATGATGAAAATTGCCCTCCTAACCCATCCTACAAATGTGTGTAATGCTAAGCCATTCAAGAGGGTTCAGGTATGCTTTGTAATACTGGAGCTCGATATCAGACACAAGAACCAGCTTCCAATGCATTTTAATACTGAGGCATAAATCATAAGAAGAGGACTTTTGTTAAAAAAATGTGCCTGATTTTAAAAAGGAGGCTACGCATACATGTGCATTTATTTTTGCACAGGCATTTATTGCAAATGCCAATGTAAATCCATTACGCATATGTTCAATAGATTTTAGATCCACTTCTGAACATACTAGATTTGCACACATACTTGCAATAAAAGTGTATACAAAAATGTATCAGCTGGTGCATGACCAAGATCATGTGGAACTCTTTCCTTCCCCGCCACTCAGTCACGCCCAATATATTTTATTTTAATAGTAAAACAGTAAAATTCTTCTTCTTCATACAACATCAGTGAGAGATGGAATTTTTGGATGACATAAAGCCCTAATGCTACCATTGTTACAGGTGGTTTAATCTTTCAGAAAGATTGCAGCTGCCAGCAGGCTGAAAAAAAGAAACTTTACTCCAAAATATTATTTTACAAATGCAGTTTATATGCAGAACTCAGAGTTTATACATACCACTTCATGAAGATTTCCTAATATCTTACTGAGCAAAAACAAAATTTAGCTACAATTTTCAAAACTGCTTAAGTGACATAGGCACCTAAGTCTTGTTGACTTTCAATTTGACGTAGGCTTCTAAGTTTCTTAGGTGCTTCTGAAAATGTTACCCTCCAACTTTCTTTTAAATACTATTCTGATTCCTAATCGGTACTGGGAAAATACATTCTAGTAGCATTCTAAGATTCCTCTAATACAATTAAATTACAGTGATGGCCCTTAAAAAATGCTGATTGTCTTAGGTAATTTCCATGAGCATGTATGTCCCTGCTAGAGAATAAATTCTCAGCAAGGGTTTTTCCCCCATAGAAAACTCTCTTCATTTGTTTCAAGTTTTGCTCTATTGCTATCAGGGACTATGGACCTTGAACACAGGCCCCCAGGGCACCCAAGCACTAGCAAGTGCCAATCTGCTACCCAATGCTTTGCTAAAAGCTGCTAGAATAGAAATAGAATCCTGACAGAGGATTCCAGTCCTAGATTCTAATTGGCAAAATGCTGGGGGTCCTGCTTGGTTCACAACTTCTATATAAACCCAACACAAGAACCAGAAGTTGTTCATGCAACTGGGTTCTCCCTGTTAGGGCTGCTTCCCCTGTAATACCTGCTCCTACAGATTTCCTGGTAACCTGACCCTGTCTTCCTCGAGACATCTGACTCCTGGTTTGCCCTCTGGCCTGTCTTGGACTCTGACCTTCTGGTATCTGACCTAGACTGACTGCCGATTCCTGCTCCAACCACTAGGTAAGACCATCGATATCCCGGTTGTGATACCTGCAAAAGAGACTGTGTCGAGACTTCCAAACATCACTGATGCCACGAGATCAGCAGGAGGCCCGTGCCATTTAATGGAGCTGTATTGACTAGAACTTCTAAAGTTGGTAGCATCTCCCATGAGACTCTTTGAAATAAGATTCTTCAACATGGAGGAGAGGATGCTGGCAGTATTATATTTCTGCCCTACGTTTGACCAGGCTAATAAGGGACAATTTATTTTTCCCATCCCAAACCCACCCTAGCCTGTCCATTCTTCCAACCCAGATCTCCACATCTTAGGAACACTTTTTAGTTACATCTACACTACAAGCTAGGAGTACAAGCTACTTGTGTAACAATGTTAGTCCTGGGATTGGAAGACATACTTTTCATCAAGGAAGACTTGATCTCTGCAGCCTGAGAGATACTTGCCTTGAAAAAATTGAAGTCTTGGATCTTTTGGCATCAGAGAGAAGCTGCCTTTTGAAACTAAGATTGCACTCTACAGTCAAATAATTGGATAAAATGGCTGGCCATTAAGGAAAGGCATGGAAAAGCTTTAAATTCATTTAAGGGTTTCATTCTTTCTTTATTTGATCAAAGCAGTAAGTGAAGGAAAACTCACTCTAGAATGCAAAAGCACCTTTACCGAAACAAGAGGGCAAGGTGTGTATGTAGCAGGTAATTGAACACTGTAGTCCCTGTAATTCAGCAGTATACTCCTGTATGATTTGGGAAGGATCATTGCAGAAAGTTTTCTGAGGGTAAAAGTGTAATTGGTTATAGATCAATAGGTAATTTCTTTCAAGAAAAAACTACTCTTGTTTCTGGAAGTATCAAGGTTCTTAAATAAAAATCAAGCTAATATATTAACAAAGTTGAGATTAATCTGAGCAACAAGATTTTATATTGCCCTAGTTAAGTTTATTTCAACTGATCATTTATTTATGTTGCCATAAAAATCCAGATGCTTTCAATTTTGATTGCTAGCTATTTCCTTTAAGGCAACTGAAATTACTTTTCTAGACTTCCCAGTGTGACAACTGTGTTTTCTACTGAAAATTTATCTCTGCACAGTAATGGTAGAATCAGTGGACTCCTTTTAGTATTAACAATGAGTATGCTCAGTCGTGATCATTATAATTCCTCCAACAGTTTTCACCTGAAATCCTCCTAGACTAAGGCACCTTCCTTTGACATTGCTAAGTCCTGTTTCATGTAATTAGACTGGAGCAAATAGCTATATTTGTTTGGGTATTACAGTGCAATTTTTAATTGAAAAAGCCATATAAAGGAGTGCTATATAAAGGCATTTTGAGTATGTCTGAAGTCCTGTACAGAACTGTATATTATAAGCCATAATCATTTAATTCATTATTGATCTTATAATTATACAACAATTTTAGATAAAGAATAGTTAATAAACTGCAATACTTAGACTATAAAAAGGTATGATCGTTCAAGACATATATAGAAATAAGTTTCAATTTGTTGATAATACTTACAATATGCAGCTCTAAATAGTCTCCAAGCCCAGTAGAACTGTCTACGCGTACCAAAACTGCTTCTTTTTGAACAGTGCTAAACCCTATTGCCAGTCTGTCAGCACGAGTGCTTGGCCGATCATTAGGAGGCCACGTGTATGTGATTTGTCCACCACCTTTGCTAAAGATATATGTTGTTCCCGCTGTAAAACAGAAATAAAACCATTTAGTTCATTTGCACCAGTGTCAAACTGCATGGCAAAAAGTGTGCTCTACAACAATCAAAATGCTCTCTATAGACAACGGAACTGCAAAAATGAAACAAAGCTATATCACAGTTTGGAGGAATCTTAAAATCTGCCAGCAAAATATTTTACAGCAAACTAAGTATTATTGCTTTTTTATACAATACAGTCCATGCAGAATACAGTATAATTGCATAGTATAATTCTAAGGACCATGGACCTGATTCAGGAAGGCATCCCTATTCAATAAAGCATTTAAGCATGTGCTAAAAGTTAAGCTCATGCTTACCTGATTTCCTGATTCTTCCTAAATCAGGACCCAGGTGGAGAAGAAATCATGTACGGCAGTTATTTCATGATTGACTAAAGATACAACACCATATATCCATCTATGCAATGAAAATGGCATGCAAGATATGATGTGTCATCCTGCACAGTGAAGCAAAATGTAACAAATATATTCAGATACAACTTTTATGAGTATAAGTTTTATCGGCTTGTGACAGATGAGATAACTAATGGAAGGGCAACAACATGCCTCTAATGGATAAACAATCTATTCAGCATTGTCAATCATTATGTGCAGTAATTGGCAATATATACAGTTCTAGTAGAGAGCTTCCAATGGCAGAAATATTTCCATGTTGTTCACAATACCAAATATGCACTTATAAAAGCTAGGTTCTGTATGAAACAAATCTTAGGGTTCTATGATCAGATAATATGTTTAAAGGGCACACATTTAACTTCACCATCACTTGCACATTTTCTATGAACTAACATAGCTATTTACCCAAGAGTTTTCAATATACAAAAGTGTATCCTTAAAACAGCATCCAATGTGATAACTGTACATTTGATCTCTGATTTACAATGCAGTCAGAAGTAGTCCTCTTTTTTTGAATATGGAACAGGAACTTCGTAAGTCTTATATAAACTGAACACTTTCCTATAGAGCAGTGTGACAAGACGCAATTTTTCACATTTTGTTGTTCAGAATTTTATTGTAATTTTGTTTTTTCCTTTCATATTGTACAGCTAGGCAAATACTACAAAAAAGTTCTCTGAACATTCACTGGAATTTAAATTGAGGACATAGTATGGAGATGTAAATAAGAAGTATTGTATAGCTAGACCTCTATTCCAGCTTCAAAGAACCATGACCTCTCCATATAGACAGCTTTGCCTGAGATCTCAAAGAAACTGAGTTACATTTTCCTTTTAAAGAATATTTCAGGTTCACTTCTGACACAACTTTTCTGCTAGTATTACCAATCTACTAATTAGCTTTGCAATTATGTGGTTCCTGTTATAATCCATTTTATAATATTATTTCCTGTTTTGTGCCATGGCCTTGAAAAAAGTGTAAAATACACTTTAACTCAACAATCCTGTCTGACAGCTCTGAGAGTCAACACATTCTCTTGGCCTCTCTCTTGATGGCAAGTTGCCAACTGGCTGCAAGGAAACCTGTCAGCCCTCTTTAGCAGGGACAAACAGGAGTGTGTGTGAATCATAGCCCTAGCACCTAAGGTGCTGTTTAAACTTCAAGTCAAGTCAGAGTTCTGCACTATTCTTGTGCACTGTAGACAGCATACTGAAGGTTTAGGCAGTCATAAAGGTGGTTGCTGATAGCCATGGGCATAGGGTGTGTGGGAGAGAAGTCTGTCAAACAGCAAGAATTCAGCTTACATTAACTGAAGTGCTCAGTAACTGCTGTAAAGCATTTCATAATAGTAGACAGGGATAGCTGCATCTCTAAAGACTGATTATATGGGTACTGCCACTTCTGGTGGTCCAAAAGCATCTGTCTATGGCACTAGTGTTAACACCTTGAGCAATGTAGTGAGTGATACAGTTCAGATTGTCATATTGTGTATGCCACATTAATTCCCCAAAGGATGGGATTTACCCTCAGTACTGTAGTATTGGGGGCTGGATCCAAAGCTCTTTGAAGTCAACAGGAGTCTTTCCACTGACTTCACAGGCCTTTGGATCAGGCCTTGAATGAGGTTCCTATAAAAAACAGCATAAATAAGGAATACAATTCTGTACAGTTCAGTGCTAGAGGATACTATTAGAACAGTACAAAAGATATAAATGAGGGGGAGGGTGTAATTTTCCTTTCCTTGGTTGTAACAGATGTGCTACTTGAAGATTTTTTTAAAATGAGGAAAAAGAAGATTCACCTGTTAAATGACAGTGGAGCCATATTTGTACATAATGCATACAATGGTCCCTAACCAAGTCCCCAAACCTGAACATCTCCAGACACTGACATTCTTATCTAGACTGGATCTGTGTAGTACAGGCCCTCCCCTAAATACTGTCCACCCAATAAACTGGTGAGCAATTCATCCCACACTATCTTTGCAATGATGTCAAGGTCAATGCTAGAAGAACTGCATAAATCAAGGCATACATTTTAAATTACTCAAAGGCTACTTTAAATTTACAAATTTGTCTTTCTGTAATTATTCATGAAGTAAGTACATGATTTTCCATCAGATCCTCCCTTTTGTCTCATTGCCCATCACTTTCATAGCCATGCATACTAACTGAACGTCTGATAACAGGCTAATTAATCCATGTTAACAAATACAGAACTGCCTTTGTATAAGCTACACAAGAAGTCACGTTCCTTGAGTTTCCTAAGTTAATTATGCAAAAATGGCCCTTAAGCTGAGAATAGGCCATTTAGTGTTTATATTTCAAGAAAGGCAAATATAATAATGTAAAATTCATTACTCAGGGATTGATCTTAGCTTATTGTCCAATCTTTGCCATAAACTATTAAAGCCTACAAAATATCTAAACAATTGTTCCAAACCAGCTTGCTTGCTATCAGATATAGGCTTGGTCTACACTACTAACTTATGTTGGTATAACTACCACATCCCTGAGGCCTGGTCTACACTACGACTTTAATTCGGATTTAGCTGCGTTAATCCGAATTAACCCTTCACCCGTCCACACTACAGAGCCAGTTAATTCGAATTAAAGGGCACTTAAAATCGATTTCTGTACTCCACCTCGACGAGCGGAGTAGCGCCTAAATCGATTTTGTTAATTCGAATTAGGGTTAGTGTGGCCGCACACCACCAAATTACTGTGTTTAAATTAATGGGGTAGTGTGGCCGCACACCACCGAATTAATGTGGTTAAAAACCGAATTAATGTGCTTAGTGTGGCCGCGCACAATCGAATTTATACAACCTGTTTCCCAAATTCGAATTATCTAAATTCGGATTAATCCCGTAGTGTAGACATACCCTGAGCAACGTAGGGCTTGTCTACATTACTCGCAGGATCGACAGGCAGCAATCGTTCCAGCAGGGGGTCGATTTATCACGTCTAGTCTAGATGCGATAAATCGACTGCCGAGCACTCTCCCGTTGACTCCAGTACTCCACCAGAGCGAGAGGCACAGGTGGAGTCGACGAGGGAGCGTCAGCTGTCGACTCACCGCCGTGAAGACACCGCGGTGAGTAGATCTAAGTATATCGACTTCAGCTACATTATTCACATAGCTGAAGTTGTGTAACTTAGATCAATCCCCCCCTTAGTGTAGATCAGACCTTAGTTATCCAACCTAACTCCCGGTATAGACAGCACTATGTCAATTGGAGGGCTTCTCTCGTCAACACAGCTACTACCTCTTGGGGAGGTGGAATACCTACGCTGACAGGAGGAACTCTCCCATCAGCATACGTAGTGGCTTCACTAAATGCTACAGCAGCACTATAAGTATAGATGTAACCTATGCCTGCTTGGTGTGGTTCTCTGTCCCCTCTAGTGGCACCTAACTCAGCCAGAAATTGATGAGTTTGCTACAGCCTTAACTAAGAGCTGTGTGGCTTTTTGCTTATGCAGTAGAGGCTCATGCATTTAGCTCCAGAGGTCCCAGGTTCAATCCCACCTGCCAATAATCGGGGTCTGTTGGCATTACACAGACAAGCTCTCCAATCCATTCAAAAACAACAGAAAAAAGCTAGTTCACTTTCCCCACAAAGACTTTTATGCTGTCTGACAAACCTTACCATTTCTTTGCTATTCTTTCAACACCGTGCCACTGTAAAATAATTAAGTTCCTTGTTCTTTTTTCAGTTTATGGCATTGTTTTGTTTGGGACTAATCAGCTCAACTGCACTCAAAGCAGTGGAATTAGATTGTCAAGAGCAGTGATACTCTTACCATGGTACTCAGAAGCTACATGCAAGTCTGTAACAAGCAGTTTGCAGCTCTTAGCTGCACAATATACTATACCATTCTTTATGGTCTTGTGAATCAGGAAAGAGAGTTTAGAAAACATGTCCATAGAGCTCTTTGAGATTTCTAACCTTAAAGTGTGGCTCTGATGGTAATAAACCACCAGTGGTCAGAAACAGTAATGGTTTTTCATGGCTTGGGTCTCTCAAGTCCTACTTGTTTGCAAAATTCATCTTTCTGAAAAACTGTGTTCATTTCTGTATAGCCTGGCAGCAACTCAAGGCTATCTGCTTACCCATATAGTATTAAACAGATACATATTTTGTTTAGTATCCATTTACTGTGTCTATTATTGTATATAATTGCAAAGCTTTTCAATAGTATGACTCTAACATTGAATATGATATATTTGAATGTTTCACTCAAATCAAACAACATACCTGCATGCTTTTTACTTTCCTCATGTTCATCTCAATTTTGTGTTAAGATTTTATGTATATTATCTTTCTGTATAATACGGTTTTTCCCATGTAATGTTGGTATTTTAATGTTTACTTTCTCCACTAAAATGGCAATGTGTGGCATATTAAATTAGGCCAAGTGGTAGTTTTATTGAGCTATGGAATTCTAGTGTATCATAAAAGGTCTAAAAATTGAAACACATAAAACTCAATAAAAACCCTGCATTTTGTTACTTTAATAAAAAAGTAAAGTGCTTTTTAACTATTAAAAAACAGGGAGTTTCGCAA